AAAAAAAACGATGAGGAGCTGATACCAAGGGCTCAAGTGGAAAGCAAATGTTTTGAGGATGATGAGGGTAACAAATGTACAAATGTGTTTAACCCAATGGATGTGCATATGGATTGTAATAAGATTTGTACGAGCCTCCAATAAAATGATTTAAATTAAAAAAACACCTTAGTGGCTGCCGGAATCACTGTGATGGATTACTGCCAAGCTTCAAGAAGGCTAGGAAGACCAGCTCGGACTAGAAAACTCACACAAGGAAGGGCTCTGGGAATGAAGGAGCTGGACCCCGAATGCCCAGGAGAGTGAGTGGCAGGGCCACAGTGGTGGCACGCACACAGCTGTCAAGAAGGCAGGCACAGGCATGACAGGATCACGCTGAGCTAGACACGTTTGTTTCTTCAAGCAGACACGCGCCAAGCTCTCCCGCTAGGGCTGTGAAAAACCCACTGGTGCCACAGCCCTGCCTACAGGAGCGACCATGTGCAAATACCTATTGTTCTCCCAGCCAATGACAGCAAAGCAAGGGGAATTCTAGAAGGAGAGAAAGGTGAGAGAGTGGCCAGAAGATGACTGAGAGAGAAGCAAAGAAAGAGGAGATTGAGATTCTGTCTGGGCTTCACTGCTCAGCTCTGAGGACCACGGAGAGTAACTGCCCCCCACCCTCTCAATGCACTGCAGCAGTGAGGGAAGGTCGTTATCACCTGGTACTCTGCCTGGTGCTGGTGTTTGGGGGGGGTGGGGGCGGTGTAAGCAGTGATGCAGTCAGGATGTCCATGCTCTCTTCCTTACCTCGGATTCCATACCTCTGTTGCCCTTGAGCCAATGCCAAGTCACAGTCACCCTAGAGGACAAAGTAGAGCAGGCCCAGTGGGGCTCCAAGGCTGTGATCCTTGGGAAAGCAGCCTGCCTCCTTTGCCTCCCTCCGAGCTGCTGGTGCGTTTGCAGCACTGGTCTTCCGGTTGGAAACGGAGTGCCTAACTTCATGCATCCAAGGCTCGCCTTCCCTCTGACCAACCCTACCTACTGCCACCAAGTTCATTCTGATTCAGAGTGGTCCTGTAGGGCAGAGTAGAACTACTCCTTATGTCCCAACTGATACATCTTTCAGGAGAGCCAACAGCGTGATCCTTCTCCGATGGGGCAGCGCATGGGTCTACACCACCCACCTTGCCATTAGCATTCCCAATGCCCAGGGTAGCCCCTTGTGTTAGCGAGGGGCTAGTTCTACATTTCCTTAAACCAGCTACAGTGGTGCGGACACAATACGTGTATTTTTCCCCCGCAGTTTCTCAGAGGCAGATGCTATCTCACGAGCCGGGCAGAGAACCTCATAGCTGTGGCCCAGCAATGGGGTGGCCTCCTGGCTGGACACAGTGAGAATAAGAGCAGAGCCTCCTGGGACTAGGTGAGGCCCCACTGGAGCGGCTGGACTTCTCTTGTGTGATGGGAGCTCAACACACACAGGACTAGGGGTGGACGGCAGGGTGGGACTCGGGAGTGAAAGAAGAAAGGACAGAATAAGTATGTGAGACAAAGTCTCTCTTGCTAATAAAGTCCTGATACGCAGGATGACTGAAAGGAAACAGAGAAAAGCAAGATATTACATTAATAAACAGAAGAAGTAAAGAGTCAGTCGATTTAAAAAGCATCTGTTTAACCCAACACTTTGGAACATATTCAGATCTCCCTGAAATTGACCAGGATATTGGGCTGTGTTGGTGGAGAAGGGCATGTATTTGAGGATGCGGGGAGAAGAGGGAAGAAAAGAGGAGACATCAAAACCCAAAGGTCGGGGGAAGCAAGATGCTCTGCAAACCTCTGGAGACATTGTACTATCTTCAGAAGTTCCTAGCTGGTACAGATGGGTCAGCTTTGTGAGTACAGGTTACAAGGTTGGTAGTTCCACCCCAGCCAGAGGGAGCTTGGGATACAGACGTGGCGACTGGCTTTTGGAATGCTCACCGCCTTGAAAACCCCATGCAGCAGTTCAACTGCACACATGGAGTTGTCATGAGTTGAAATCAACTCGACAGTAACTAACACTTCTGAACCCAGCCACCAGAAGACACCATGGAACACAAGCACAAGTCTCCCCATCCAGCCCATACGTCAAACAACAGCCACTGGCCAGGTAGGTATTGAGAGCATGGGAGATGCAGAAAGTTCACAAACATATTTGGTCTGGTTTCTTTGTTCTTTCCTGTACATTTCAAACTAGGAAAACAACAAATGTTTATTGCAATGTATATACACATACAAATACAAAAATTATGTTGTTGTTTTATTCATTCAGT